TAATATGCATAATAGATGATATACATAATATAATATAATATAATATAATATAATATAATATAATATAATATAATATAATATAATATAATATAATATAATATAATATAATGTAATGTAATGTAATGTAATGTAATGTAATGTAATACAATACAATACAATACAATACAATACAATAGAATACAAATACTATACTTTACTATACTATACTATACTATACTATACTATACTATACTATACTATATTATATTATATCATATTATATTATATATATATATATATATATATATATATATTATATATATTATACTATATTATATACAATAGAAAGAATTATAAAAGAATTATAAAAACGAAAAAGTCTATTCATACGTTCTATTACGTATTACGAGCATAATCGGGCAGGATCGTTTGCCAGGGGAAGATCCAGTGTTGGATAGACCTGGGATCGCCGACGCTCTGGAAGATCTACATGAGCCTGGTCAGCTTCACCCTCTTTATAGCCCCGACGCTGATAATAGGGGGCTGTTACGCTGTGATCGTGGTCACTATATGGTCGCAGGGAGGAGCGTTGCGTCAAGGACCTACCAGGGACACCAGAAGAGCCTCGTCCAGAGGTCTGATACCCAGGGCGAAAGTGAAGACAGTCAAGATGACCCTGGTGATAGTGTTCGGTGAGTGAACCGTTCTTCCCGACGACGCGCAGCGGTCCCATTCCCGGCGCAGCTGGCCAAAATGCAATTTTCGGCGTACAACGTTATACAGGGTTCTTCAATCATTTTCGGTCGATCTAATATAATGCATTGACATTTTTCAATTCTTTTAAACTTGCTACTATTTTAAATCGCGACCACTCATTTCTGCCATAACTGCATAAAATCAGCAGTCTGATGATTACATTGTTTACGATCGTATACTTTATAATTGACTGTACCGTTTATTACTATTACATTTTTATTATTTTATTACATTTTATTACTATACATACTTTTTTATATATCCGTGAGCTACTAGACTCTTGAAGTAATCGGGGAGATTGACATTTTCGTGGTAATTGTTTACACAAATAATTTGAATAGTCATGTTATACATTCTAATTGTACAGGATGTAAAAAAGGTTATTTAAAAAAAAATTGCTTAGGTGTAGGTCATCTGAAGGTCACAGTATAGCAGGTCGTTGAATTCATTTTTTCATCAGCAATAACCCTACGAAGTCAAAAATACAGGGAGCCATTTAAAACAGTCAAGGTAACCTTGACTTTTAGTAGAAAAACAATAGTTTCTGAAATCTGTTATTTTTCAATATGCAGCCGACTAAATACTAATTAACTTTCATTGGAAATATTTTTTTGTTGGACTGTCGAAATGCTTGAAAAATCCTAGCGACAGTTATGTGTGCCACACCCTGTATAAGTTATGATAAATGGAATTCAATCGGCAAATGTTTAACATTAAATTATAACGAAACTGTTACTTAGGGATATATGGTTCCTTCTGCAAGTTTGCTCCTCTCGATGAGTAGAATAGGATGCAATCGTAAAAAAATTTGACCTTGAAAAATATGGTCAAGATCACTTTTTCAAAAATTTCTTTTAAAACTTTAGCTTCATGTCAGTGGTGTCTGATTTTCCACTTTAAATTTTGCATTTTCGATAAATTTATTAATTGCTCGTATAATATCAATTATTATACATTATAAAAGTATTATAATATATAATATATTTATTATATAAATTTATTATATATTATATATATTTATTTAACATTATAATATATAATAACAATAATATTATTATTAATATTAATACGGTTACTACCGTAGAAGAGTAAATAAATAAGCGTACTCAAAATCAACGATCGCAAAAACGTAAGAAATTCTCCTAAAAAATGGTACGAGTTTGAGAGATTTGGCCAGCTATTTTGGGAAACGCGACAGCTACGCGACGCGATGTGCCGCGATCGCTTATCCTCCGTGAACCGTCATATTTCACGAATCAGCCATCCTGCGGGGGTTCCTACGACGCGCTTACCAGATAAAAAGCAACCACATCCCTCTTCTTGCGTTCTTTCAATCTCCATATCATCGAAAACCGAGCCTGGAAACACGATTTAGCTAAAACTTGGGGTCTCCATCTTTCATCCCGAAGCAAAGCTCCTTATGCCATCGATATAGAGGCAAATATTTTGTTAAATATAGCTCGTAGCGATGCCCTTAATCACTGACCTCAAGCACAATATCGGAGTCGCAGCTTCTAAAGAAAATATTTTGAAATTATTAAAAATTCAAAACCGTTTGTTTGCACAGTTCCACAAATTTTACGCACTCGGATAATGAGATTTCTTGCCACATTGTTGGTTACCTCCTTTTGTAACGTTCAACAGCGTTTTGAAATTCGAACTCGACGGTACGCAATTATAACCAAGCAACAGGAGACCGACGCTTGCACTGTAAATATTGTACAGCTGTGAGGATACCAGGTTATTTTTTTCTTTTGTTGAAGGAAAATAGAAATTTTGACATTCTTATTTATATATCATTGATACATGATTCGTTATTTGTTGATTAGAAGTCGATAATGTGTGAAACATAATTATTAAAGATATTCTATTTTGACACGTGAATGCATGAGAAAAGATGGATCGCAGTTTGAGACAGTGGCGACATCTGATGCATCCGAGGGCATCGACGCGTTCAGTCTTTATTCGGATCAATTACCGTTGGATTTGGAAAATCATTGATGGAAGACAATTTTTATCGTGCATAAAAATCCGTGTGTACTATTAATACTATTTGCACTTAGTTATTATTTTTATTTTACTTTATGTAGGAGAGGTAGCGAAGGTAATTGAGAATAGTTTCAACTGAAAGTTGAAAAGTCAATTGCGGGAAAGTTGCAAAGTTAATTAAAGAAAAGCTGAGAAGTCAATCTAAAAAAAGCTGAGAGGTCAATCAAAGAAAAGCTGAAAAGTCAATTAAAGAAATGCTGAAAAGTCAATCGAGGAAACCTTAAAGAAGAAAGAAATGTGATTGAGGTTAGAAAACAATTTCCAATTAATATTTTTCACAGATGTCCTCTGACCTCCTTGGCGAAGACAATGTGAAGTTAAAATTTTGGAAGGTTTCTTCTAACCCCTTTACAAATAGTATTGTTAAAATAAAATTGTGAAATGAATTGTTTTCGACTTATGGTTAAAAACAGTGCAAAATTAAAGCAGTAAAGGCTGTCTCATGGCGTCTTTTTACGAATAATGTTGAATTAAAATATTAAAAGGTATTTTTTGACACCGCTGGCGAAGACAATATAAAAAAAGTTAAAATTTTTAAATAAAATTGTGAAAATTGTTATTCTACCGGTTTGTTAAATTAGCGCCAAATTAAAATTTCAGAGGTAACAATGAAAAAGAAAGGTGTCAAACTGAAATTGTGAAATCTGTTTTCCGACTACGTTGGTAAAAATGTTGTTACCAAAAATTTGTTACCAACGCGCGAGGACGTACGAGATTACAATTTGAACGGATCTATGAACCGAGACGAAATCTCGATGGGCGATAAAAGGGGCGAGGAGCGTGGCGTGGCTGTTTAATATGAGCAAACGAAGCTAACAATTAAGCGGAAGTACTCTCGGCACGAGCGGAGCCCCGAGGACATCCGTAAACCACGACGACAGCCGATATTTGCCGAGCGAGTCGCGAGACTTCGCAGCTCAAAGGTCCCTTTCCTTTTACCCCCCCCCCCCCCTTGCCCAAAGGTGGTCACTTCACGGTAATTCCACGGACCAATCGGATTCGATTTAACATTTTGTCTTTTTAAGTCGAAGTGCGAACATCTTCCTCGAAGGAAGTCAAAGTCGAGTGCTTTGAGCGGACAACTCCCACCGGCGTCTTCTTTTGACGCCGATGAAACCATTGAAATGGATAGACAGTATCTCGCCGCGGAAAGTGGCCAGCCTTATGGCAATGTGCTCAGAAGTCGTGGAAATATTAATCGAACGAGCCGCGACCGTCGGTGGACTTCGAAAGTATCTTGGGAAACGATGGGAGAAGAGTGGTTCGCAACCGAGTTTTTATATCGCGGTTCTCCTCGTTTTTATTAATCCTTGGACAGCGAACAATTTCGAGTAATTATGGCAGCCGTGGTTAGGGTCCATTCAGATCTTTACGATTAATATTCATTTGTATAGTTCTACAAAATCACTGCCTGCGAAATTAGCATTTAGATGAAATCTTTGTAACTCTGGGTCAAAATGGACCCGACGCCCGTCATCCGAGGGTTAACGATAAATTTTCATGAATTTTTCTGTCTTAGTTAATAATAGAATTTCTTTTTTAAAAAAAAGAGATAGTGAAAATATTCCAGTGACCGAATTTGAAGAAATTGGGTCACCGGGATGTCTGACGTTGTCGGAAGTGTGAGAATCGCAACTCGTTCACCTCGATTGCTTGAAAAAAGAATCAAGCGGGCCAACAGCAGGCGGAACAGTTGTTTCCAATTTGCTAGAAATTGAGATTGGTGTTGGTCCGGTTAATTCCTTTCCGAGCGGAAAACAGTGTGCTGCTGCGCATACCATCCGTGGCTCGTGCTACACGACGCGAAAATCCTGCGACTGAAGCGACAACTGTCGCGTTCTTTTCGTACTAACCAGTAACCTTAAAATTTACTTATTTCGTAGCAGAGTAATATCGACGCTCCAAAATCGTAAAAGTAAAGAAGAGACTCCCTTGTCCGAACATTTATTTTTACAATATTCCAAACGTTCTAAATATTATCCTAATATTTTATTTATTATCCTAATATTATCTAAATATTACACTGTCCAGATAAATTGTTTACTAGGCGACAATGTATCTGAATACAATTTTTAGGTGATATTAGGTTGGCCAATAAGTCATCGCATTTTTCTACATCGAAACTTATGGGAAAAGACGCAATGACTTATTACCGAATCTTAATAAAATACTCTGATAACAGGATATTACAAAAAAATAAACGTTCGGATAGGAGATGCTACACTGTACAGGGTGTCCTATAATTATGTTAACACTCGGCAAGGAGTGACAAAGCTTTTCTTTATCTTAAGAAATAGATATTCAAGGTAATCAAAGTTATTGCTCCACCCTGTATACAGGGTGTCCCAAAATTATTGCACAAACGAGAAATGAGAGGTTCCTGGGGTCATTTGAAGTAACTTTTTCTTTAGGGAAAATGCAATTCGCGGCTTTGTTTACGAGTTATTAACGAAAAACGCGGACCAATCGGAAAGCGGAGAGCTCGGCTGGCGCGAGATGGTCGAGCCAACTAGAGCGCGAAGCCCTGTCCCGCTGTTTGGCTCGGCCGCTTAACGCGAGCCGTGGCTCGCCTCGCATTGGCCACTGTTTTTCGTCAATAACTCGTAAACAAAGCCTCGTAGAACATTTTCGCTAAGGAAAAAGTTGCTTCAAATGATCTCATTAATCACCCTTATCAATTTAATATAATTATGGGGCACCCTGTACATCGAAACGACCCCGTTCGATCGTATCAAATTCGTTCTACGTTCACGAGGAATGTTTAGCAGACCATGCTGCCACTTTGTGATATTTATAAGAAAGTCATTGTTACCAACGACCCAATTGCACCGCCGCTTAAGTGGTCGTCGGAGTTGCATCGCGAACAGGTTCGGCGAACTCCCGAGTCACGCCGGGCGGCACGGCTTTCCGAACAACAATAATCAAGTTCGTCGAGGCGGCGCGGCGTACAATACGATCATTCATCTGGTCATTCGGAGAATGTTACGTGCCCGATCGACCATTAGCGATCCGTGTGGTCGCTTTTCGGACAAAGGACCCTTCTGCCGGCCATTTGGACATTCTCGATCCGTTAGGACTTTTTATTTGCTAAATAAAAGGGGTGTGCTAAACTTATACTTCCGACCTCTGTAATAAATATCGCGATGATACAATTTTCGCGGAACCTGGCCAACGAATTTAATTTGCGACACGAAGCATCCAACATTTTTCCTTGCGGATTATTTAGGGGATCGATATCAATTAAAACAATCCTCTTACGAAGAATACTTTGACTCCGCCAGGCGTGCACCGCGATTCTACGATCAGCTTTTTTCGCTTCTCCGGCCCCTGCTTCACACTCCGATACCTTTTCGCGTTAACTTATCGGCCGTTCGGTACTCATGCACGCGAACCTAATACGGATTATCAACGGTCCTTATCCGCTCGCGCATTTACTCGCTCCGTCACTGCGTTCTTATCCACTCACGTGCCAATTTCCTTTAATGAAATTGCACCGGCCGAGTCTTTCCATCGCGTCTCGTCGACTTACGAAGACCACGTTGAAATTTTAGAACCCGCGCTTGCGTCCCAGGGACTGTTCGAATGTTCACAGAATCTCGCGGGGACTTCGCAGAAGCTTGCAGAAATTACACACTGCGATTACAGAAATCATAGTGTCAACAAAATTCGAAAGACTGCAACGAAGATTTTAGCGACCGTGGGCTTTGGACGCGTGCAACTTTTGAATCAATGGTTTGCGCGCAGCAGGACTTGAATTTTCGGGGTTCTCTCGATGAAATCTACGGGAATATGCATGAAGGAGCCAAAAATCTCTGGACCCCTAAAGTAAAGTTTAGCGGTGCAAATGAATAAATAAAGAATAAATAAAGAATTCTGGACTAACAGAATTTTCCGGAACTCGTAAAAGATCTTAGGACCAAAGGCAAACCGAAGAACCCAGAGTGTACAATGGAGTAAACAAGAAGAGTGAACAAGTAGAGTAAACAAGAAAATTCTAGCGAACGATCGCATTAGGACAAGTTTTGTGGCTATGGGGGGGGGGGGACTGTTTGCCCGGCAGCGATGATCCGCCATCCTTCTGCCAATGTCGCGGTTTGTCGGGCCGAGATGATGGAACCTCCGCGTCCTCGTTACCCGCAACCATCCTGATCCTTCATCGGGCGAATCTCCTCGACGTCCTTCAATCAGCCGTCTCATGAAATACCTGCTCGTTCGAGAGTGAAAACACCGTCGTACAATGGGACCGGCTGTGATCAGTCGTTCGATGGGAGAAGCTCCGCCCTCTTCCGCAGACGGAAGACGGAACCGTCAAATTAAATCGCCGACATTATTTTTCGACTGTTCCAGTATTTATACTTTGCTGGAGCCCGTACATAGTGTTCGACCTCCTCCAGGTTTACGGGTACGTGCCGAAGACCCAGACCAACATCGCCGTGGCCACCTTTATTCAGAGCTTGACGCCTCTGAACTCAGCTGCCAATCCGATCATATACTGTCTGTTCAGCACCTCGTTCTGCAAGACCATACGGTGAGTACCGCCGGCCAGATTAATCATCGACGACTCCGTCCTCTCCAACCATTCTCGATCGGCCATTAACATCTCCATGCATCGGCTATGTTCTGAAAAATTACGTTGATTATCTTCTGAATCCACCGCATGAATTCCATTGGCAATTATACGAAAATTATTGTACAAGCGAGAAATTAGGGTTCCTTGAAGTAACTTTTTCCTTTGCGAAAATGTTCTGCGGGGCTTCGTTTGCGAATTATTCACGAAAAACAGTGACCAATGAGAGGCGAGATCAGCTGGCGCGAGGCGGCCGAGCCAATGAGCGGAACTGGGCGTCGACCGCTCGTTGGCTCGGCCGCCTAGCGCTAGCCGAGCGCGCCTCTTATTGGTCGGCGCTTTAAGTCACTTCAAATGATCTCAGAAATCCCTCATTTTCCGCTTGTACAATAATTTTAGGACACCCTGTAGAAGGAAATATTGTTCCGAATTTTCGCTGCGGTTTCACGCTGGGATTGATTTCGAGTTGGGTCCGGATCATGTTCAGATCAGCACTGATTTATATCTAGGTTAGGTCTGGGTTGCGTTTACGTCAGGTCTAGGGTAAGGCATTGCGAAACTAGGTCTAAGTTATGTTCGTGTTTGGTTTAGCATATTTCTGTTTAGGACGTAATTCTCGATATAATACACAGTAAATATCATCGCCGATATCGAATATATTACGTGGCAGCGCGTAGGTTGCTCTCAGTTTCGGTTGAAGCCGCCGCGACGCGAGCGACATCTATCCGAAACTGCTAATAATTCTTAGTGAACTTTGGGCAGTGTTCACTGGAATATAGAATGCGTCTGTTCTACTTAACATCGATGTGATGTCGTTTCATGAATTTAATACTTTCACGAAAAACTCGAACCTAACTCAGAATGATCTTGAACCTAACCCTAACCTAACCCGGGGTTAACGCAGGCTAAACATACGTTTAACTGTACTTTTCCTAGATAGAATATCTTAGAAACAAATCCTTCCTTACACCTAGCATGCTGCTTCTAATGTAAAATAAAAACGGGCTGCTTTAATTGCAAGATTTATTTATTTATTTATAGAATGTATTAGTTATAAAATCACGAAAAGGAAAAAATACAGACATTTAGAATGACGCGATGCACAGTCGAAATAAAAAGGATTCTAAAAGCTGGTCATCATGTCGGGTTGAAAAACATTCTTTCGTGGCTCTTCGAATACGTTTACTGTATCGTAATTGATCCAACCAATTTCGCCACGAACGCACACAACACGCGGCCCACTTTGTAGAGCAGTAGTTCACGATAACGATTTTTCTAATGCCTCAAACGTTGTCGAATGTAACGGCTGTCAGGAAGCTGGCGTGAATTGGTTTATAGAGACCGGTTTTATAATCTGGCGGCAATAAACGGAGGCAATAAAGGTTGGACGGCATACGGGAGAATATAGCGGTGATGATGCGATAGGAACATGCAGGCGATCTCCTGGGTTTCTGGATGGTGCGCGACGAATCCTCATCACTGCTTCGGCGCCGGCGGTCCAAACAGTAGCACCCGGACCACTGTCACCACGTCCCTGACGGCCCACTCGTCCAGGAGGAGTGGGCACATCGCGGTGCTGCACTCGACCTCTAAGAAACGGGTCATGGTGTCGCTGGTGTGAACATAACGGCGATTAGGACAACTTTCGACTCCCGTTTACCATTGGCTGGGTTCACAGCTCTATGGACTGTGGCGCCCTCCGAGCGCGAGTACGTCGCTACCGATACGCTCTGCGGGCCTATAAGCAAACATTCATCCTTTGGCAGGTTATTTGGGACATCGTACTGACAAGGGGACCCTACGGTATATTGCATTGGCGGCTAATCTTTTCCTTGGGAGTTTCTATTGTTTTCACTTTCCAGCGTACAGGGTGTAAAAAAAGGTTATGTCATGGCTATCATAGATCGACATAGATCGATGGAGATCTGTTTAAACAACTCTCCGCACAAAAAAACCTTGACCATATTTTTCAAGATCAAATTGTATTACGACCCTGACTTCGGCAATTTAGGACTGAACAACAAAAGCGTCAATATCGAAAGCTATTTTATTTCAATCAATTTACATAAGTGTTCGAAGTGAAGTATATTTTCTTGTAAGCACGATTCTATTCGTGTGAACAAATTACGATTAGTTGCAAATAGAAACACAACTTAACATGAGTACGTTTAACCGATAAATGTTTTCAAATAATTACGTAATTAACCGTTACAATTGTTATGTTTTATTTAGAGATAATCTCCGTTGGTTCAATTGTACATAATTTTCAAGACAAATTTATGATGAAAAATCTCTGTTGTTCAAACTCAAATTACTGAAGTGAAGAATTAGCGTGCCACATTGATGCGCGCTGAATGGTTTACTGAGCGGTGCCGCTAGATGGCAGTAAAGGCGTGCAAGAGCGTCCATTTTGGATTCATTCCAATGCGTAATGGATTATAAAAGATTATGCCAAGGTTATGTCAAGGCTACATTCCTAGATTCACGACTTAGATTTTTGGACTTTTCTCGACGAAATCCGTTGAAATGTACACTGGAAATTAAAAAAAATAGAAACCTCCAAGAAAAAGTTTAAACGAGTTGGCCAATAAGACATCGCGTTTCTTCCCAATAAATGGCAATACAGCTTTTGCAATATAACGCAATGACTGGGCTGCGGATCTTCATGCAAAATAAAAATTTCTTGATTCAGTTACAAGAAACAGAAAGCAAATAGAAATATTTGTTTTCTATTGGTAATTTCAATAGATTAAAAAGAATGTAAAAACATTCTTCAATTCTACTGATATCATCATTATTCGCTATTTCACATAGTAAATTTTATCATAAATGCATAAAATCCGCGGCCTAGCAATGACTTATTGGCCGATCCAATAGTTTTAGGACGGGACAGATAGAACACCTTCTATCGTTGCAATCGTACGATTTGATCCTGAAATTGATCATTTAGTACAGGCCTGCCCCTTGTGGCCCGTGAGCCGTATAAGACTTCTTCCGCCACAGCTCGGCGATCTCCACCGCGACGGTGTTGTATACAGGGTGTCTTAAAATTATGATAGTTCCGGGAAATCAAAGGTTTCTGAGATCATTTGAAGTAACTTTTTCCTTTGCGCAAATGCAATCCGCGGCTTCGTTTACGAGTTATTAACGAAAACCGCTGACCAATGAGAAGCAAGCTCGGCTGGCGCGAGGCGGTCGAGCCAATGAGCGGAACTGGGCTTCGCCCGTTCGTTGGCTCGACCGCCTCGCACTAGCTGAGCACGCTTCTCATTGGTCAGTGTTTTGCGTTAATAACTCGTTAACGATGCATCGGAGAACATTTTTGTAAAGGAAAAAGTTGCTTCAAATGACCTCAAGAAGGCCATATTATATTATATTATACTATGGACTCTATAGCTCTATAGCAGTGGCGGAATAAGTTGTGTGCGGCTCGCGAACCACAAGTTGCCCAGGCCTGATTTAGTAGATCGTATCGAGCTTTCTACGAATTAAATTCACCTGGAACCAGATTTCCATAGGATGAGGTAGATGAAAACTTTGTAAATACTGGAGGACGAGAGAATTTTTGTAATTAATGTAAGAGATGTAGCGTAAGTAATGCAGGCGATTGGAGGATCCGTGGAATTTTTGATAAACCGTGCGACAGGGTTTTTTCTACTATTTTTTCTTCGGACATTTATTATAGCAGACCTCCGAACAAAACTTTGGAACAGGTATTTTGATGTGTCTCAAGTACGTTATAGTGTAAGTGTAATACATCAGCACATAAAATATGAATAAAAATGAATAAAAAAGGAGAATATTTTCAAATTATATTAATTATTAAGTTAAATTAATTATTAATTAAACGTTATTTTCACCTCCTTTTATTAATATTTCGACGAACGAATATTTCGAATCTTGGACTCGACATTGGAACATACGTTGCTGCACCACACACATATTTGAGACACATCGAATATTCATATTCGAGACCCCCCCCGTGTCAGTGATCCTAATCAGAGAAAACCTCCGAAAGAGGATCAGACTATTTTATTACGTGAATCCTGTGAAGGAGTTCCTCGAAACCTTCTTAGGAAGTGTCTTCGAAAAAAGCGAATTCATAACCTGCACAGAACTTAAAAAAGAAAAAAAAATTGAGAAGCCTCGTCGCAGAAAATTGAATCAAAACGTGGCCAATTTAGCTTCACCGACGAGCATAGCGCGAACAGTCGACCGGCCCCGGAACAATCGGCACGGACGTACTCAGCTCGTCGATAATTCAGTTTGTCAGCAACGAAACAACTGTTTAAACGACGCGAGCTGATGACGATTTTTGGCGGTAGTTAACCATCTGTTTTCTACATCTGAACGCGTCGTCGGCAGGCAACGCTGCGAGAACGCGGCGAGCACCAAAGATTCCGTTTTGGTGTATGCCAGGAGCCGGAGAACTCAACGATTTTAAGTGTGAATAATATATAGTAAGTTTTCTATTCCTGTATTTACGTGATCAGTATTCTGGGTCCGACCGTTGCGCCTCGAACGCCGTTCGTCTGCCAGTAACGCCCTTGCAACGCTGAGGTTATGTTACAACCTGTGAAACGTCCGCTGCCAAAATGCATCGCATTTTCTATCTTCGAAAAAGGTGATACTGTCCACAGGTGATAGAATTCGATTCGACGCACTTGCAAACGAGACGTTGGGTTCTAATAAAGAAAACAATGTTCGAGAACCGCCGACGTCCGAACTCTAACGTCGCAAAGCGGGGTTAAGCGACGAAGTTGTAACATGCTTACTTTACGACATCGTTTCCCGTGGATTTTGACATGCTGATCTCAAATCCGGCCGCAGGATTTCGAAAGTGCGTCGATTCAAGTGACAAAAAACTGAAGAAATTTGCTACATTGTGATCGTTATTTAGTTCCTGTTTCATACGTAGAAATACAATTCGCGTGCACACGATTTGATTATCGAATCGTTTCAACGAAAATACCACTTCTTTCATTTTTTCACTAGGATCGACGTTTCCTCAGAACCGCGAAGCGTTAGACAAATTCCGCGAACGAATTTGAAATCAGCGCGTCGAAGTCCGTGGGAAATGATGTGTAACATGTAATAGTAAAATGAAACGTCGCTGCTTCGGCGCCGCTGTGCGCCGCGTCACGCGAGCATCGCCATTGCCGTCACTGTCACGAGACGTCCATCGGTGACGTCACGGGCGAGAAGTTGAGCAGAGCGTGGATAAAGAGCGGCGCGGTCGACCAATCACAATCGTGAGAAGAGCGTCGGCGATCGTGCTGCCCTCTGCCCCTACTCCTCCCGGCGCTCGTCTGCGGCGTCACTGATGGAGTCGCGTGACATTCGAAAGAATTTCTGGCAACGATGGTGAGCATACCGAGTTGTACTTTGGACGAAAAACGTCTCGATCGCAGCATCAAACTTGTGCTAATTTGCACTTCGCAAAATGAGAAGAGCTCACAGGTAGAGATTAGAAGATCGCGCGGAGAACGATCTTCGACTAAAAAGGACGAAATTGTTAACGAAGCGTTGCATCGGTCTCGCAAGAGTTCCGCGCGGACGAAAGGTGCATTAGCGTGGCCATCGATCAGCCTGCGTGGAAAATGATACGCTCCAAGTATAGATGTAAATATATACATAGTGAATGGACGGCAGCTTCTTGTATATACTTACGTGTAACCATAAATGTGTAATATATTAATGTATTCCATCCGTCGCGATCGTCGCGGAGACGTTCGCCCGCCGGGCTGCCGCGCGATGATAAATCGAGACCGCCGCGCGAGTTGACGATGGCAGCGATACCTCTCAATTAACGTCGACCCCGAGAGCATCATTGGCTACGGACAGACGGCGAACGGGCGGCTGAGTGACATCCGGTACCATCGATCGCTTTCTGATCAATGGACCGCGGATGTCAGTGCGGAAAAATCGGAAATCAAGCGTTCTCCAGCGTTCATGGAAGCTGAACGTGATGGAATAACAAATCTCGTTCCTGCAACGATTTCCAGTCGCCTGTGAATTAATTACGAATTAGTTCGAATTTGTTTGAAAGATAAGTTTGAGATCATTTGAGTGCGTTTGAGTCATAGCGGCGCGAATCGTATTTTCGGGAATGTTGACTTGTGTCTCAAAATGTAATGTTCAAAGGACATTATATAGTTACTATGAATATATAAAGTTATTATGACATTATAAAGTTACTATGAGTGGACTTGACTATGAATTTTGTGAAGAATAAATTTTGTCAGTAAATAACACACGTGAACAATGACACTATGATTTTTACACACTCATTTGAACATTCGACCAGGAAGATGGCACTACAGCTTGATACTGCCCACTTACGTAAGTGTCATTGTATGGACAATTAGTATGTTCAAACGTTCAAAAGGATTGATCGAAATTATATTCGCAGAGACTGTGAGAAAACCTCGGATTTTATGGGTGTAGGAAATCAGTGCAAGGTGTCAACCAATTGCAAGAGTTTCGTAGACAACATATTTACATCTTATTGTTGTCGCAATGCGCCATCTGGGAATAGTAGATCGTACTTCCTAAAAGCCCTATCTAGGATGCAATTTTTTTTCCAAAATCTCTACTTTTACGATCTTGTGTCCTAATTTATAATGTTTGACAGCATATTGTCTGACAAATGATCATCTTGGGACGTGACATATTTGGAAAGTATGATTCATACTTTCATTTGGGATTCCTAAAAGTCTGCTCTAGAGTGCAATTTGCTTCAGAATTGCTATCTTCGAATTGTTTTAGAATAATCGCTGTTATTCGATAGCATATTATCCGGTAACAGCTGACTACAAATGACCATATTGTGATGTGACACATTGACGCCTTAATATCGCGTGGCGCCATCTGGAAATAGTCAATTATGATTTCTAAAATTCCAATCTAGTGTGCGATTTTACTTTTATGTTCTTATCAACCAAGTTTTAATATTTGGCAACACAGTGCCTGGTCATGTTTGACTACAAACTGAGACCTACACCCATAAAACGTTACAATATTTTGTTAAACTTTTCTTTGGGGGTTCCTATATTTTTGACTTTCCAGCGTACATTCCAAAGGATTTCGTCGAGAAAAGTACAAAAATCGAAGTCCTGAATCTAGGAATGTAACCTTGACACAATCTTTTATAATCCAATGCGTATTCCACGTTGCGCGTGCTGCCATCTCACGGCGTCGTTCGAAAACTCTGGAAATTCATCAACATATTTGAGGCGCATGACTTTTTAACAAATGAATTCAGAACATATTTTAATTACATTCCTAGATTCACACACACACACACACACACACACACACACACACACACACACACACACACAGAGAGAGAGAGAGAGAGAGAGAGAGAGAGAGAGAGAGAGAGAGAGAGAGAGAATTTCGATTTTTAGACTTTTCTCGACGAAATTCATTGGAATGTACACTGAAAATTCAAAAAAAAGAAAAATAGAAACCCCCAAAGAAAAGTTTCGTCCAATGTTTAATAGGCTCGATTCGAGCTACTTCCATCCACAGTGAGAAACCCGTAAACAATATTAGTCCGTTTGGACCCAGAGTATAAATATTCTTATTCGACTATCCATTAAAACAGAGAGTAACGTGTCTTAAAAACTATGTCGCGTCAAAGATTCATAGATAATATTGCAGATAATCCGAAACAGGCGCGGTTATATTTTTGTGAAAATTTGTATCGAATATGACAAGCTTCAAATCGATAAGTATTTTACTCTGCAAAAACACATACATGCTCGATTACCAAATCGCTTCGCGCAAGATTCTCTCGGAACCCGTCGAAATAGAAATCTAGCTTCCACGTTTCAACGGAAGACCGATTCACCGCAAAAAGAGCACGATTGACCGGGCCGCAAAAAATTGGCGAACGTGAGTTACCTATCCGGCCGTCCGTTCCTCTCGAATAAATTGCTTCGACTTTTTGGGATCCTTCAGGTTGCTAATGAGATTCCGTGGATGCTCTCGCGGCGGCACACTTTTCAGCGGAGCCCGTGGCAATCGGTCACCGGAACATTCGGTCGCTTCCATCGGTCAGCTGGGGGCGCCCGAGGCGGGTCGAGGCGCTCGGATCGCGGATCGGGCGATCGTCTTCGCGGCGATCGCCATGATCTCTCTGTCGTTGACGCCTCGTCAGCCTCGGCGAAGAGGGGTGATCCTCGCCGGATAGCGAGCGAAGATTCACGCTGACGCGAGAACTTTTGATATAACTCTCTCCGATCGGAGAAGCCGATAGCCTAACGGCTCTCCTCCGTCGCCATCCGTTGGAGGTTGTTTCTCGATTCTTTCGGCATCGACCTTCAACATTTCGGACTGCGCGAACGGCGGTGATGGGATCACGCTCTCGGGCACCGATCACTCCATCCGTCAATTTTCCTAATTATTTCGATTATTGGACTAATTGAAATTTGCCGGGTGGACTTTTCTTTCGCGGGCAGATTCGACGCCTACGCCCTTGCAGCATTGACGGGAAGTCGTTGATTGAGTTTCATGGCCGAGGGAGAAGTTCGGCTCGTGTTTGTGAAAGTTTGAAGAAGCTTCTCGACCGGGTCAGTAATAAAATTGCTTCTTCAATGTGAAAATCCTCTCCGCTGCTGAGCAATCGGCTTGCTGAACTAACATTGCTAAGCTGTTTATTGATAAGTTGATATTTAAATTGAAAGTTGTACAAAATTATCGGCCGATAATTAATACTAATTCGTGATCTCATCACTGCACGGTGCGCTCGAACGAGGTAATTTCTTGGCCAGAAAGTTCGGTTCGAATTATTGCGGGACATTTGTCCACCGACGAATTTTGATAAGCCTCTGAAAATTCAAATGTTACTTCCAGCAGATAATTTGACAATTAAGTGTGACGCGTTGCAAAGTTCAAATTTGGAGATTTTAGTTTAAAACGTTCGATTTAATTACAGGTTTTAGAACATGAAGTTCTTTCTATACAAGATGTCTCGCAATATGGAGAAGGGGCTTCCTTGGGTCATTTGAAGTAACTTTTTCCTTTACAAAAATTCTCTCCGAGGCATCGTTAACGAGTTATTCACGAAAAACGCTGACCAATGAGAGGTGAGCTCGGTTGGCGTGCGGCAGCCCAGCCAACGAGCGTACGGAGTCACTGCCGCTGCGTTACACGGCCGGCGGGACGCGGTATTGGCCGCAAGAGCGGAGCGCCGGCCGCACACGTTTCCCGATTGGTCACTGTTTTTCGTGAATAACTCGTTAACGATGCCTCGAAGAGAATTTTTGTAAAGGAAAAAATTCCTTCAAATGACCTTAGGAAACCCCCATTTCCGGATTACGAGACATTTTCAAGACATCCTGTATTTTGACGTTTAAGAGAATTGTTCTAATATTTATATATTTATTATATATTCATATATATATATGTAATAAATATTATAAATATATAATATTAATTAGTATTATATATATAATATTTATTATTTTTAACGTGCAAGTAATACAGAAATGATTACAATTTAAATTTTCAGAAGGGTTTTTCAAAAATGATAGAACATGCTCGATGTAAAATTTGTTTTACCCGAAAGCCTACAAAACTGCGAAAAGGATCACGCAAATTTAAGCTGCGAATTTTAATTTCACATGGATCTCAGCAAGCTACGCCACGTCGCAGTAAACCATAGGTTAAAACGCGTGATCTTTAATGCATCCCAATTTTGGGAACTACTTAATTTTGGCGAAAAATTACCGCGTTCTAGACCAGTCGAGAAACCAACGCAACAGAGGTTGCTCGTACAGTCTGTGTACAAAGTATCTGTACACCATTTGAGACGGAATAACATATTTTACAATTAGGCCAAGCGATCTAAATTTATGTGGGATATCATAGGGATTGATTTACTAGACAATGATTAAAATGATAAGAGAATTAAAAAATGATGTTCTCTCGACTTTTTTTATCCAAGCCAAAAATTTCGTTATTGTTTGACAAAGTAATCCCTTTAGCATCCCCCCCCCCCCGCCCAAAAAAGATTCAGATCGCTTGGTGCAATTATAAAAAAGTTATTCCAGTTTGAAAGTTGCACGAATAATTTCTACGCCGATTGTACCGTCGACCGAAAACGATAGGTAAATCTGTATTCGTAACCATGTCTATTTATTATTTATAAAATCATGTTTCCCGCCCGTTCGAAGGGGAAACGGATATAATTTGTACATACTGTCGAATAAACACGTGATGCAAAACCTATCCACCCAGTCGCCTCGCCCGACTCACTCGAAGTCCCTCTTCCGTCGAATTACGGCAGTAAACGGCTCTGAAAAGTGGCGCGGCACCTCCTATATTCCGTGTTTTATTGCGCTGGCTGGGGGCGGGGAGGAGCAGGAGGAGGAGGAAAATAGCGAGGGACGAAGTCGAATGGTTTGAAGGGCTCCGACTTCTTGCCATTTCGCTTTTTATTCGATGGATGAACGTCGCGACGATCCCGTTTCTCCACGTTCATAATCGAGATGTCGCAACGGCTGCCATCTTGAATCGAAATGTACACACGTTACGGGACCCACACGTGTTCACGGGACGGTGATGATTCACGTAAGTACACGCGAAAGAAACATTTATGAGTTATTTCGTTCTCTTTCATCGAGGAACGTACATTGAATTTTGTTCAGCCCTCAGATAGCACGCCGGGGTCACCAGTGACCCCAACATTGTGCTTTCATTTCATTTTTTGGCAAAAGCTTGACTTCTTCAGATTTTCATTATTCTATATGCTAGCTGGAAAAAGCTAGCATATATATATATATATATATATATATATATATATATATATATA